CAGACAGACAATTGGATGATTTCAAACTCCCATTGCATTAATAGGGATTGCTTTAAAAAATAGAAAAAAATATTCTCAATGCTGTAATTTGTCATTTTTCTCAAATTTATTCTATAATGAATAAATACAATACTTTCAAAGTGGCTTGTAACATAAAATGTAAAACAGTATTAAAGAATTATTTATTGTGTGCATGCTATATATATACACAGACACTACACACACAAGCACATACACATACACAAATATGTATACATTTATCTGTATTCAATAGATTTTTGTTTGTTAGTTTATTTAAGGGCTGAAGACTAAAAATCTCAATGAGGACATCAGGCAGTAATAGAGTCTAACTAGGAAAATCATCTCAGAAGCAACAGATTAGAATGGAAAATTTGCCCTAAATAAGCATTTTATTTTAGATGGATGGTCCTGCAGAATATCCCTGGGAAACTATCCTTCTGGCAGGCTCTATGAGCATCCATTATTCAAATTTTAAAAAAAGTGTTTTTGTTTTGTTTTGTTTTACTTCTTTTAAAGGATATTATAATTGAAATCTTATGTAGGTGAAATCAGACTTAAGGGAGACCTACCAACACAATGTAAATTTGGTCTGTTTCAAGTATGAATGCCTGGATCCAATTAGTATGTTTTTTTCCCCAATTTCAGCAAAGAGGAATACAGGACAAATGGAAAAGACCAATGAAGGAGCCCAAAATAAAACAAAAGTGATGGAATTCATTCTTCTTGGCTTCCCTGGACCTCATTATCTAAAAATGCTCATTTTTATAATCTTTCTTATCATGTACAGTCTAACCATTTTGGGAAATATGGCCATTATCATTCTCGTAACCACAACTCAGTGTCTCCACACTCCCATGTACTTCTTCCTTTGCAATCTCTCCTTCCTGGAAATATGGTATACAACAGCCTCTGTTCCAAAGACCCTGGCCACCATTCTTGGATGGAATAAAACCATCTCTTTCATTGGTTGCATTCTGCAGATGTACTTTGTTTTTGCCTTGGGATGCACAGAATATTTCCTGCTGTCTGTCATGGCTTATGATCGATATTTGGCCATATGTTATCCACTGCACTACACCACTACCATGAACTTCCATTTGTCTAGCAAGCTAGCAGCTGGCTCTTGGCTAAGCGGATTCATCATTATTTCCATACCAGCTTTTCTGATCTCAAGATTGACCTTTTGTGGACCTAGTGTGATTAATCACTTCTTTTGCAACATTGATTCCTGGATAGTTCTGGCCTGCAGCAGCACCTTTGATGTTGAAATGGCAGCCTTTGTCATATCCATCTTTGTTATATTGGGACCCTGTGTGATAACTCTACTTTCCTATGTTTATATCATCTCCACCATACTACGCATCCCTTCAGCCAAAGGACAGCAAAAGGCCTTTTCTACGTGTTCCTCCCATCTTGCAGTTGTGGTGATTTGGTATGGTTCCACCATTTTTCTCTTTGTTAAGCCTTCTAAACGGACCTCTTTAGAAATTACCAAAATAGTGAACATTTTGAACACAATCGTGACTCCCTTGCTGAATCCCTTTATTTACACACTAAGGAACAAAGATGTAAAGGAAGCATTTAGACATTCTTTGCATTGGCATTAAATAAGAATGTCTATGGTTCTTGGTTCTATGGTTTTTTGTTGGTTTTTTCAACTCTAAAAAAGGTTTTAGTATGAACAGTTTTAATGACAATCTATTATGTCTTGGGTTCTTGAAAGAATATTTATGAGTTTGTGAATTTATGTAACTTGGCTAAGATGTCCAGAGAAACAATGAATACTAAAGCTTTGGTATTTTTTAGTCACACTAGAACATTTAAGGCATTTTCTATCATTTAACCTCTAGTTCTTCAATGGTGTTCAACATGCACTTTCATCTGCCCCTCTCCTTCACTGTTTATAGGCATCTGTAAAGGGGAGAGAAGCAGTTTTGAGAGCATTAGCACTTACTCTTTCATTTTCATTTTTTTTTCATTTCATTTGCATTCTTATACTCTTTTTTCTTCCGCCTTTCCAAATTGACATACTGCATGGTAAATAAGCTGATTCAGTAGTGGTTCTATGAGAGTAGGATATAAATGGAAAATTAGATAAAGTAATAAGTTAAAGAGCAAATGTAAAATACAGGAAGTAACAGAAAATTAATCGAAGGAATTATACAATACTTTGAGGTGATAAAGCAAGTGGCCATTTAGAGAAGAATGATTAACAAGCAAAACAAATAAACAAAAAGTCTACTGTTTCTAGTACTGACAGCAAACAACTGGCAACTGAGTTCATTTGTAATGAATTTAAATATAACAGGAATGTTCAACCAAACATCCGCAGGAAGCTTTACTTTTTTGAGGAACAATATTACTGATTTTGGAGAAATCTGCCCCATCCTAATAAATTTGTATAGCAAGTCTAAATCCAGGCCTCCATGAAAAATACAAATGGTGGTCACATTGAGAATCCATTTTGTGTTGCTGTTGCACTTAAAGGAAGAAGGAAGAGAAGGAGAAAGAGGGGCAAGTGGAGGGGAAGGAGGAGGAGGAAGGAGGAAAAACTGCTGTGCTGTTACTAAGGTGAAGCTTTCAACTCTGAAACTGAAATTTGATTTTTTTTTTTAATGTCCTAAAGAAAATTTTCCAGTTTTGGAACACAAAAAAATTGGAGAAAGTTGAGAGGCTCTAGATGGTAATACATACATTTATACAGTTGGGCTTATTCCCTAAATATGTAACTATAGTTCAAAGAGAACTTTGATAGCTAATATATTAAGACCAAGAAGACACATTTGAACAGATATCACAACTTGGAAGTACAGTAGCGGTTTAAATATCAGTTGGAATCCTGAATTTCAAATTCTGTAATTAATTATTTCAGATAGCTGGATTCATACTCTATGTTACTCTTCTAATCTTTGTATGGATTATAATCCAAGATATAAAAAAGTCAAGGTCAAGATCATTAGAGGGGAAAAAAATATATGTGCATGCATGAAAAATGTTTCAACATGAGCCAGTTCATCACTGAAATGGTTGGTCTGGGTGCTGTATGGTTATAAGTCCATATGTTCTAAGAGTTTTGTTTCAGAAGGGGAAAAAAATGTCTGTTTTGAGTGTCAACCATAGTTGAAGCATTCTATGTGGTTCTGTCAAGGAGATCCACTTTTTCCCAGCACAAGGGGAGGAGTAGTGGTGCTGTCTCTTTGCCCAGTCAACTGACTTCCCTCCATTAACAGCCAAAAGCTCAGTGTAATTGTCAAGCCCCACAGTTTTTATTGTGATAACCAGGAAGAACCAGTAGACTGCTTTCCCACATTCAAGCAAGCCTGTTGTGGCCTGATGAGAATACTTTAAGCTTTGAACTTGTAAATCCATGCTACGCTTCCTACAATTAATGTAAGCAAGGAGGATATTTTAAGACAAATGCTTTAAGTACAGAGACAGATTTACTTAGCCAGGTTCTGCTCTTATTCCCCTGAACCTTTAAAAAGCTCCTCTGAAATCTCTAGGAAAAATTGGTTAAGGGTGAAATAGGTGCACTGAGCCTCTGTAATACATTCAGACATGGAATCCACTTTCTCATAGAGAGAGTCTGATATCATAACCTCTTCCTCTCTAGGAAAGAGGGAAAAAATCTTGCTGCTTTCAGAACCCTGGGCAGAAGTCTGGAGAAGCTGCAGAAAGAAGCTGGTTATAGACCAGGGTCTTCCCTCCCCCAACAGCCTCAGAGGAAAACTTGGAAACACTAAAAGTGGGCAATCCATGAACTTTGAAGCACAGGATCATTTTACTTCAGGAACTCTTCTACTTCTGTAGCAATAGGTAAAAAGTCTAGCCAGGTTCAATTTGTTTTCTCTGTGGTGATAAGTCTACATTTCTGTGGTTCTCTGTACTAATTAAGTAATTGTTTTTAATTCATACTTAAAATTGGTTCCAGAAATATATATTTTTTCTTTCTTGTAGACAGTAATATGCATCTGAAACATTTAGGTTGCCTCATTAAACCGAAACCATCTCGAGGTCTGCACAGAGCACTGGATTTTCTTTAGATTTTTTTTCTTTTTTTCTTTTTTTGCGAGCAGTATCATCATGATTTGGACTGGTCTAATTAATCTTTCCAATATTGAAAAGTTACATAATTACCATTCAAGGAGTTTTATGTTCAATGTTCTCTTTGAAAAAAAAAAAATCTGATTCAGTCTCTGTGAGATTGGTCAAAGGGGGAAAGAATGGGTTGAATCAACTAAACATATGTGCAGTGTACTGTATATAGTATTCTCTCACTTTTTCCTGCAATAATCCTGTGAGGTAAGCTGGGCTAAGGGCAAATGACCAGTTCAAAATCCCTCAATTGATTTTTGTATCTTGAACCCAGGCCTCCTTGGTTGCAGTCCGACATCTTAGCCACTACATCAATGTCTGTGATGGAATGGAATTATGAAGGCCAAGCTCAGGGAGATAAGCATTTTCTTAGCTCAC